ACTCTCAGCATCACTTGTTGTGTGGCTGGGGCCTGGCAGAGTGGCTTGTGAGTGGCTATTTGAAGAGGCCTATGGAGCCACCAAGCAAGAGCAGTGAAGCATCAGACTTGCTAGAGCTGCATCACTTCCTTCCTGTATTATCAATGCCCTTGTGCTTCCATTAATATATTGCTAAGGACACTGCCTTTTACCATGCCTTTGCTCTCCTTTGTAAGTGCAGAATTGCCTAAATTTGACCTAATAGTAAAGCTCTTGTAGCCCAGCAGATCAATATCTCTCCTCCTCTATTTCTCGTGTGTTGGGAATGACTCTTTCCACATTAGCCCTTTCCCTATTCGCAGCAGCAGCATCTTCAGCATCTTCAGCATCTTCTGCTGTATTCATGCCAGTCGCAGGTCCAAATGACTGCTTCAGTTGCTTTTGTTACTACTATTCTGTACATGTTTCACACATTCCTGAGATAATCACAGCTGTCCCCAAAGTAAGTAAAGGGTCCTTTTGCCACTGCTTCCATCAACTCTCCCCATCCCTCAGCTTGTCACTTCCCACTTGAGACTGGTTATCTCAGATTCCTTATGAATGACCTCCCTCACATGCTGACTTGAGACTGAAGACGGTATATCATCTTGTCAGTGTCTTCATCAATTACCTCCTAACCGGTGGACATGCAGACTTTCACAACAGCCACGGAAGATTTTAAGCCTAGCAAAACAAAGCTGTGGGACGGTGCTGGGTGAAGGAGGAAGAGTTTTGGGGTGGGTTGAAGGATGCTGAGTTTCTGCGATGCTGATTTATGCAAATTGGATAGGTGCCAGGGAGCATAAAGTAGCAGCTGAAAGAGCTTTCAAGCAGGAAGTTCACTCATTTCGAGGTGTAGGAAAGATGGTAAGCAGAGTGGGAGTGGTGAAAAGTTTCCAGCAAGAGGCAGAACCTGCAAAATGAGGAGTTTGGCAAAGAAGGCCCCAGTGATGTGTGCTGGGAGAAGAAGGTGGGAAAACTACCTTTATACTCTTTTTGGCACCAGGCCAAAACCTTTTTATTTAATAGTTATTTTAAAAATTAGCATTTTTAGTGGTTCACAGTCATTTTTGCTTTGATTTATCTGTATTGGTTTATAGTAATTTTATTGTACTGTTTTATTGATTGTTTTTATGACTATTGGTTTTAATCTTGTAAGCCGTCCTGAGACGCGATAGTGAAGGACGGCATATAAATGTTTTAAATGAATGAATGAATGAATGAATGAATGAGAAAAAACCATGGCAAGCCACAGAGTACCTGATCCTCTTTCGGGACTAACATAGTCAGTGAGCAAACAACCAATCCAGAGATGCTTCCTCTCCCTGTTGCTTATCAGGATATGTTGTCAAACAGGCCTTTTGCCTGTGTAACTGTAATTTACACATTGTACTTTCCAGTTACCCATCCCTGCTGTGTTAAGTAGAATCTGAACTAACACCATTTTAGAAAAATGTCCATATAATTAAAAGCATGACAAATGTGTGTGTGGGGGGTATAATTAAATACTGTATACTTGCCCTTATCACAGCAAAATTCATGCATTACAACTTATCACAGACTAGTTAGGGAAGTATTATATATTCTCATGCTTACTGTGGATCAGCTATTACCCTGAATGTGTGTATGAAGAGTTTTGTTAACTATTGAACTTTTGCATAGCACACATTTAATAGGTCACAAACATCCCATTGGAAATGGATTACATCATACAGTATTTTAGGTTTTTTCTTTCTTTTTAAAAATGCTGCTTCTGCAGCAGGTATGTTTCCACCCAATATTCCTTTTATGTAATTAAATGATCTGTTGCTCTACTAGGAATGCAAGACTAACTACCATTTCAGCCCCATCAGGAGCAAAAAGGCTAGACTTGTTATTTAAATGTTGAAAAGTTTTAACAAGAGAAACTGTGACAGTGGTAGGCCTGTCTCATTCCCCAATTTACCCCTCATCTGAAAGAAATTTTTGATCTGAGCCAACATCTTTCTTCATATTTGTTAAAATGAAGCTACTCCTGGGAAATGTAGGGAAGGGATCCAACTCAAAAACGTTGCAGTGTGTTCAAGTAGACTCTGAGGAGGAGATGGTGCATAGATGGCTTAACAATCTCACGGTTACCTAGTGAAGATTTTCAGGCAGAGCATGAAAACCAGCCCACCTTGGATAAGGAGGGAGATATTTCAGAGTGGGAGGGGAGGCAATATGGGGGGAGTTCTTTGACCCACTCAAGAGATGACAGGAGAAATGAGAGGATCAAGTATAAAGTGCCCAGTATTCCCATCATCTGGGAAGGAAGGAAAATTTCAGTTTGGATTCAGCTGTTTACATGGGCAAATGCTTCTCCCACATCCCAAGGAGAAGGCTACTTTGATTGATAGTCTTCTTTAACCTGTTAAGGTTTAATGAAAAGTCCATGCTTCTAAAGTGTCACCTGAGTCTGCTGGAGCAGAAAAGAGGGCCGGGGGTGGTGGGGGGGGGGGGAGCCTGCTCTCGACAGAGAAGATGTAAACATAGTTTGAAAAGAAAACAGAGTGGTTTGGACAATATGTCCTCTTTTGTTCTCCTGCACTACTGGGGAGGGTTCATGTCTCTGGCTTATTTATTCTTTCTCTCAATCTCTCTCTTTCTCTAAGCCAGTTTCATGAGGACAGAGTGACAGTTCCAAATGAAACTTTCTAATCACTATGAAGATAAGTATGAAAGGTCTCTGTATTCTAAGATAGGTAATCACAGGCCTGGACCATGGTGCTCTGGGAAGGAGATGCTTAATCTTCCCTCCCTACTTGTTCAATCCTGAAATTAAACACACAGACACAGACACAGACACAGACACAGACACAGACACACACACACACACAGAGAGAGAGAGAGAGAGAGAGAGAGAGAGAGAGAGAGAGAGAGAGAGAAGTTCACACCACAAAAAGGAGGGGGGTTACAAAAGAAATTAAAAAGTCAGTAGAGACTGCTGTCCCTTCTTTTTTTAATGAATGGGATGTAATAGGGAACATCCCTATGCTGGAGAAGAGAACTGGCCAGTAGGTTAGTATCTCACAAAGGATGAATCTGATATTTAAGTTTCTGCTTTCTAACTTATCCAGTCTCAAATCTGGCTCATCTCTGCCTGTGTGTCATGGTCCCTGTCCTTCTAGTATAAGAACATAATAGAAGTCATCCTGGATCAGTCCCAGATCTGTTTAGTCTGGCGTTCTGCTCATACAGTGGCCAACCAGTTGCTCACTGGAAACACAGAAGCAACATAAATGCAACAGTAAAAACTTAATATTTAGTCTTTAATGAAATCATATAGCTAATTACAATTAGCTACAGGCTTCATATGTAATTTCAGAACAATTTGAAGCTATTATAACTGTGTCAGAGATCTAAATAATTTATACATTACAATCTTTATAATTCAGAATGTAAGAGAAGAAACTTGGGAGATTCTTGGCATAATCCACACAGATATTTAACTGAATCTTGAAATGTTGGAAACTTCACACTATATAGAATAAAGCTATCAAATCTAAGATGAAATAGGTTCAAGAGCAAGTCCCAAGTAATCCCACTCATGTAGAAATTTCAATAGCTAAAACTTCTATTTGGTATTCCTTGGTTAAACGAGACCAAATGTATAGCAAACAAGAATTCATGGCTGTCCTAAGTATAGCAATGCTTTTCATAGCAGGTGCTTAACAATATAAAGTTCAAAGAGACACAAATCCAAATTAGTTGGAGACCCCATGTGAAAAGTATCTCAAGGTTCACATGGTGCAAAGGATAGTAAAGATCTGGGGCAGGAAAGATGACAGTGTCCTTAGAAAAGACTCCTAGTTTTGGCATTGGTTGAAAAGTGAAGATGTGGCTGAGATAGCCTTCCTCATGAACAACTAACTGATAAGGGTTTAGAACATCAGTGAGGCTGCTGGCCAAATATGGTTTCTCCATTTGGCTCTACTGAGTTGATGCTCCAATGTGTAAGATGCTTTTAAACGTTGGAGTCTGTTATCAAAAAGAGGCTGCCAAAGTCAAATCTAGCAGCTGGATGGGAGTAACTTAAGTACACCTGCTTTTGTCTGAGTACACTGATTATTTAATTTCTGTGCCACCCAATAGCCCACTGCTCTAATAGCTCTAACACTGATTATGTCATCCTAAGGCAGAATAGTCCTAAGTGCTTCCAGTTCAATTTTGATCAGATTCTAGCTATAGAAACTGCCGATGCGTTGGACTGGAGCCTCCAATTTTTATTTTTTTTTTGGAGAATTTCTCAACTCGTCTTTTTATATTCCCTCCATTTTTTGAGGTTTGTATGAAAATGTGTAAGGGTTTTTTTCCCCACACACACACACAATGTGGGGATAGATACATTTTTGATATGCATTTTTCCTAGCCTTTGCATTTTTCCAAGCAATCACCATAATATAATGCCACTTTGAAAGTTCTTTGCCCAGTAATCTGCATTTTGTGTGCTTTAAAGAGAGAGAGAGAGAGAGAGAGAGAGAGAGAGAGAGAGAGAGAGAGAGAAGGCTGTTGCAAAATCTAGACAAATTCAACTTATGTGGATAACTGTGGATAACTGAGTGGTCCAGAAGTGCAAAATTAGGTGAGTTAACATTAAAATGTGAACTGGATTAACTTCACCCCGCCCCATCCTAGGTACCAGAGAAGGTGCTTTTAGCGCCTCTGTCCAAGTTGCAGAGCTTCTCCTATCCCACTGCAGTCTCTCAGGAGTGGATATTCTTGGCCAGATGGCCATTTCTCCAGCTTCCTTCCACTTGGAGGGAAACTGGGGATCCAATGCATGATCTTTTTATAGTTGAATTCCTGATTGTTTTCATTACAGAGCTTTAAAACAGATCTTTGATTTCAAGGTAGTAATTGTTTACAACTCTTGTTTGAAAGAAAGTTAATGGGCTTTTACATATCTGATTGATGCATACCTACACAGTAGATTTTTCCCCATGATCTTTCTTATCTTCAAGCAAAGAGCAACTGCAGACAAAGAGACTCTTCATGTTTTGTCAAGAAAAGAGGATAATAATCAAAGCACCTGGGAATGCAATTCGCAGGATGTAAGTTTAAACCTTTCAGAAGTCAAGACTTAATGCACAGTGCATGAAAACCTTAAAGCCAGTAGATGCATTTTTATTTAGTTACAGTAATCAGAATATGGCATATAGGACTATATAAGAGGAGTATGTTAATTTTAAATTCAGGTGCTGCAAAGCAGCTGCCTTTTGATGTTAACGTCTGTTCTCCCAGGCGTTGCTTAAGAAAATAATTAATAGTATTTGCAAAATTTTTGAGAAAAAGACATGATTTATTCATTCATTAGTTGTAATACTCTGGCCAATTCACATATGAATTTACCAGACAAGTGTGTATTACATCCTGACTTACCTTGGAATACCTGTCTGCTTCCTTTGTCTGAATGTGCCAGGTCCAAATAAGCCACTACAAGAGGGGCATGCAAATAGATTTTTGGAATTGTTTGTGGGACCTTTCATCAAATGTCTAGAGGGAAATCTGAGATGGAATAACCAGTGACCTGCAATACTGGTGAAGTACTTAAACTGGTTTGGCTTGCTTTTCCTTTTGACAATTTGGGAGGTTGCTTATTTGACTTAAAACTAGAAACACTGAATGGTTAGAAATGCATATATTTTTAATGCTCAGTAGCATATGCTCGGCACCATAAAACAACTCTAAATGGACTAGAATAATATGATTCTGTGTTCCAATTCAGGAAGACAGTCAGTGTGATGGAAGCAAGCTAGTTCATTACCTTGATAAGTTGTACTGCATTTTCCCACTTTAACACAAACAAAACCTTAACTGTGTTTTCCTCCAATTCTCATGTCATTCCAAAGAAAGGAACAGAAACTAAGTACCACATTCAAGATTGAATAATAGAATTAGGTTCCATGTAGTTAGATCTGAAGATAAATTACTACACTGTAAGGGCTAGCATTTCTCATTAAGCTTCTGCTTCTGATAATGATCCATAAGAAACTACGTAGAAAGGGGAAAGGAACAATATGTAATTAATGAGGCCAAACTATATTAAATTGTACTCCATTGAAAATTTATGGTTCATTGTTTGATTACATTGGTTGCTGGATGGAAAACTATGTACAGAAACAAGCTTTGCTTCAGTATATATTTTATGCCTCTGAATGTATGTTGAATTTATTTGCTATCTAAATATTGAGCATACGGTTTTGCTAAGTACAGCAACTTTTAAAGTTTGTTTCTAGTTAATGGGAAATTAAGGTTTGCACAATGCCAAAAAAATGTCTGGAGGATTTAAATCTGTGAATATAGTATTTATCTCTATGAAACACATTTAACAGATAAAGTATACTGCATATTGGGAAGTTCTTGCTTTTTATACATAGAAAGCATAATGGGCTGGATTCAGACTTAGCCTGCAATCTTAAACACAGTTACCTAGGAGTAAATGTGATAGGCTCAGTACAACTGATCTCTAAGTAATCATTGATACGATTGCAATGTTACTAAAGCTTAGAGTAGCTGAATTAAAATCAATGGGACCACTTCCTCATGATTAACATGAGTCCCATTGATTTCAATGGACAATTTCAAAACATGACTAATCCAACTAATCTGGCTCCAACCAAGTATATAATTTAGAATTCTGATAGCAAAGTCTGCTCAAGGGCAAGGGGTTTCCCCAAGCCAATGCTATGGGTTTTTTGCCCATGAGGCATTGCAAGCTTTATCCCAACTTCTCACGATGTGTCTCAGCATGCTCACCAACACGGGCCTTCTCATCAAACACATTTTCATTTTTTAATAGCATTTCCTAAGGTGTTTCTTATATTCCTCTTTACAACATCCATGATCCCTTCCAGGCATAGATTTTATGGCCTGAAAATGGAGACTGAAAGAATTGCATTCCCCAAATTCTCTGTAAATCTGTTGGATCTGAAACTACATTTGTAGTTTTATTCACACTGGTTATATGAAAAACGTGAAGAGGGTGAGAATATAATTCTGAATTGCAAAGTAAAGCAACCTTTATAAGAAGTCTTCAAAAGTCCACTAGACATTTTAATACCTGACCTCATTTTAATTCCTGACCTGTGCTAGGCAACTGGTCCATAATGAAAAGCAAGACAACTTTTATCAAAGTCCCTTGCTGTCACTACAGACAGACAAACCTGTTATTAATCTGAATAGAATTCATTCAGTGATAATGTGGCTCATAAAAATAATCAAATCATGGCCAAGAACATATTAATCTCTGATTTCTACATTGCTACAAAGTATCATAATCAAGAATTTTATAAAAAAAAAGAAATATTTATTTTTCACCTTTTCCCATTTGTGTCAGAGTTCTAGTTCTTTTCACTTGGAAACATTTTTTTTTCCAAAAGAGAAAAGTCAACAACCCTTAAAGCATTTACATTGTATCTCTGCAGTAAACATTTCCTTTGAAAATGTTAATCATTTTGTGGTTAAGGGCACTAAGCATCTGACCAGATGACATACATATTCCTAAGCAACCACAGCTTTTAACTACACAGTTTCATCACTCACTATTTGTTAGTACTGGGCCAAAAATGTATTTCCTTATTTTTACCATTCTCACCCAATCTGGCTGAAAATAAATTGCTTTTGAACAGAAATTCAAAAGGAAGTTCAGGAAATTTCTCGTGAGTTTGATTCTTGTGCTTCTCTTACATATATGGTAACCAAGGCAGTGTGGATTAGTATCCTGTCTTGCTGTATAAACATCTCCATGCAACTGGATTAGAAACAGTATGTATACTCAATAATTCAACATCTGGAAGATTCTGGAGAAGATGCTGAACCCTGAAGAATGACAACTAGAATTCAGCCAAAATGGCTCAAATATTTTTCTGACTTTTTCTGAGAAAAATCCTGAGATTTTTCAGTTTTTTTCACTGCTAGAAATAAGAGGGCACCTGGCAGAATTTTCCAAATTTCTTCCACAATTTTGTTGAGTTCTGCCTACCCTTCCGATCACCACAGAGTAGAGTAAAATTAAATATGGAATAAAATGGAGGTCAGGCTTCTAACAATCATGGGTGCTGTTTCCACTTGCAGTTGGAAGGAAAAAAGAAAAGGAAAAAAGACAGGAGCCCTTAGGAAGAAAAGAAAGAACCTATAGCTCTTGCCAGCAGTGAACCCTATGTGTGTGGAATTTTCAGAGAACCTGTCCTTTCACTGGCAAAATTTAATGAAATTTTCTCCTCCACCAATTTCACAAGTAAGATGGAGAATTTCAAGAGGCCCTTTCTGCAGACTTCTGCTTTTTTTCATTTAGCTTAGCATTGCGGTCGAGAGTGGGTAAACGTTATTGTCACAACTTTAATTGTCCCACAGTTCTTTAAAAGCACCAACAAGAATAAAATAAGTTTGCTTTAGTTGATACCAAGGCAGTAAGAAATGTTGTTGTGAACCATCCTGAGATGTCTGTGATGGGACGGTATAGAGAAGTTTTAAATAAATAAATACAGATGGAGAGAAAATTGTTTCGTATCTCAATGCGAACATACCTAATTTCTCACTACCAAACCAACGATCAGTTATCTTTACCAATTTATTCTCCTCCGTACTCCAGTGTAGGATGTTCTGGTTAGATGAATGAGCAACTCAGGAATGAGCAACAAAACAAAGCCTCAAATACATGGATTGATTCATTCCCAGTAGAAGTAAGAATAACTTCCAGGGATGCTTGAATGGGAACTTACGGAAAATCATGCATTCAAATATTTGTATGATTTTCTCCATGATACAGCAAATACATCTCCTAAGTCACTTCTAGCACCAGACCAATAGCATGAGCTTTCATGACAGAATTCCCCAGCAAACCTATGGTACCAGTGAATGCTATTGGCATTGCAGTAGTAGTCCTTTAGTGCAGTGTAATTACATTAGCATTCGTGGCTCATTGGCTTGTGCCCCTAGAGAGTAATCACAGGGAATTATCTCTTCCAAGAGAGTGAATTCCCAGGGTTTAAAATTCATATAGATTACCTATGTCCATTAGAAATGATTACAGGATGTTGCCCACTAGTTTTCTCCACACTGAATCCCACTTCTCCTGATTTCTAGTTTAACTAGTGGATTTTCTCAAACTATTCCATCATTTTACAGTTTGCCTCAGTGTGCATGCTTGCACACACTGATGTCGTATTAGAAAAAATGCAATTTTTAATTATGTTCCTGTATAGAAGTTGGTAAAATGGTATGCAAAAAGAATTGTGATGCCTTCCTATGTACAGTCAGATCAGGATTGGTTCTGGGAAGCAAGACATTTCTTTGATGCACAGAAGTACACATGAATATTGGTGAAACATTGTACATTGCTTCTTCTTGCAACAAGTTTTCCTCAAGTCCGGCACTGAAACTGTCAATTTAATTATGTGTTTCAACATTCCATATTATTTTTATTTAATTTTCTGACAAAGAAAAATGCATCTAGTACATTTCTAATTGAACAAATGCACAGAAGAGCAAGATGATGGGGTTGGAGGGCTCTTTGCTATGTTTCTAACCTTTTGTGTTGTTCCATGTAGCAGGAACTCATTCTTGTTTTTCAGCTAGGAAAGAAATGGCTGCTGGTTAATTCCTTCCTCTTTCAGCTGCTGCTATTTTAATTCATCTTCTAATTAGAGAGTTTCTCTTGTCATGTGTGTGTGTGACTGTGAGAGTGTGTGTAAACCTGGGCTACACCATTTTTAACAACTTCTTATTAGTGTTTAAATTCAAGGTGTCATCTTATGAAGGTGAAGTCACCTTTTCTACCCACATTCCTCTCCCTCTTCGTATCTTCTTCAATAATTCCAGGTGATCAGGGATGCTGCAGGAGAAAAGTGCAGGGCAGCAGTGACTCAGTCATTATTAAGCAGTGGAGGTGAACTTAGCATGTTCATGAAGAGAAGGGGCTTCATGGCTCCTCTTGTGTTTGCAATTCTGGAAGCTCACCAAATTTCACTGCTTGACTCTGAAGAAGACAAGAAGAACTAGCTACCTTTAAGAGGCAGCTCTTCTGGGTTGTCCCTTGAGTTAAGAGCAGTCT